GAGATTGATTAAATAAATTTTACCTAAAAATTATCAATCAATCACATCATTTGTCAAAGCCAAAGCCGAGCGACGGCGCGAGGGGCACCTTCTATTTAACCCTTTAAGAGATAAAGGAAGTGTTTCCTAATAGAAGGACAAACATTATATTTTCCTTTCTTCTACCAATATGGAGGAAATGACTTTTCATTTTCCCCCCAAATTGGTTTCCCCACATTTCTTAATTTCTCATTCATTCTTATTTCCCATTCACACATTGCTTAAACTCAACAATCCCCCACATGAATGGGGAATGACTATTGTTAAAACATATGCATGAAAAACTTGTGTCTAGTAAGTAAGGATTAATTGCATATGGATAAGTAGGTTTCTCTTTGAACTTTTCATAGTGAACATATATCGGTTATACTCGGTCAATCGGTAGATTTGATATCTTTGAACCGTCGAGCTTTAGTGTATACCTAGACAACATAAGTCACACAATCAAACTTTGAAGTGTTTTTGTTTCTCATTGTTTTGTTCGTTTCAGCCATGAACACGCCTTGATTTATAAGTGCTTAGAGAACTGGCCTTATCGGATTCTCCTTGAAGCGGCTTACACTTCACACTTACATAGGTGATTTCTAAATGTGTTATCCCGTAGATACACTATTCTATATACTTTGTAGCAAACTTAGAAACCATTAAAAAGTCCTAATGTCTTTATCCTAGTTACTAAACATTGTCTCATCATGAGAATGGATCATAAAATATTTTTTGACAATGTTGAACCGTCATCTATAACTTTGTTTGTTCTCTTTGAACCTAGATCTTGGGATCTCCAGTCTTCCAGGTAGATTTACCGCCATGATGAATTTTCCTCGGCCATAATCCTATTCTCGTCGATTATCTCTCAACTCCCTCTCTAGTTAGGCTTTTTGTAAGTGGATCTGACACATTATCCTTTGACTTTACATAGTCAATTGTGATAATTCCACTAGAGAATAGTCTTCTAACAGAGTTGTGTCTCTATCGTATCTGAAGAGACTTACCATTAAGCATAACGTTTCCACCCATTTTTATTGCAGCTTGACTATCGCAATGTATGCATGATTGAAAGGTAATTGAAAGCTTCAAGTAATTAAATTTCAAAAGGGCAAAGACAAAAATTGATGTGAACCTTGATCTTGATAAGAATAAAGGTGAAAGTCAGTCTCAATTACATTATGCAGAGTACTAGGAAGTTCGATGTACGTCATGAACTGTACACGACTAGAGATAACATGCGCTATAAGTAAACTGAGTCAATACATAAGTTATCTCAATCAAAATCATTGGATGGCAATGAAGAGGGTTTTGGAGTACTTAGATGACACTCAAAACTATGTTTTGCATTAAAACAAATATCCACCAGTTGTTGAAGGATATAGTGATGCAAATTGGATTACTGGGTCAATTGAAACTAAATCCACGGGTGGATATGTTTTCACTATTGGTGGAGGAGAAATATCTTGAAAATCATCCAAACAAGCATGTATAGCTCACTCTACAATGAAGTCGAAATTCATAGTCTTAGACCAGGCAGATGAAGAAGCTGAATGACTTCGGAATCTCTTAGAAGATATTATGTTTTGACCCAAACTAATAGACCGTGAAGAGTTTTATGAATCTTAATTTTCAATATCAAATCGGCAAATCATAGTTCTTTCATATCAAGCTTACTAGAGAGCATATGCTTAGTAGCTTTTACATAATTAGCAATGTCGTTGCTCATTATCAGCATGTCATCCACATATAGGCATACAATGACCTCTTGATTTGGAGCGTTTTTAATGTAAACACATTTATCACATTCATTAATCTTAAATCCATTTGCCAACATGGTTTGATCAAACTTTGCATGCCATTATTTCAGTGCTTGTTTTAGTCCATAGAGTGACTTAATAAGTTTGCACACTTTCTTTTCTTTACCAGGAACTACAAAGCCCTCAGATTGTTCCATGTAAATCTCTTCCTCCAACTCTCCATTCAAGAAAGTTGTTTTCACATCCATTTGATGGATTTCAAGACCATATACTACAGCTAGGGTAATTAACATCCGAATTGATGCAATCCTAGTCACTAGCGAGTATGTGTCAAAATATCAAGACCTTCTTTCTGTATATAGCCTTTGACAACAAGTCTTGCTTTGTATTTGTCAATAGTTTCATCATCTTTGATTTTCCTTTTGAAAATCCATTTCGAATCCAAATGTTTGTTTCATGGAGGAAGATCAACCGACTCCGAAGTATGATTGCTTACGATTGAATCAATCTCACTATTGACATGCTAGTCGATTCGGGTTAGCCTATATAAGCTTTAGAACATTATAAGAGGTCAGGCTGCCCATTATTTTGGCGGGTCAAAAAATAGACAATCCAATCCACAACTGTGTTGGCTACGAGCCGCGCTGAACCAACCTATTTTTTTGTAAAAGAATATGTTTTTAATAATTTAAATTTAACTTTTAAAATTTTAGTATAAATATCGACAAAATAATATTACATGGTGTTTACAACTTGTTAATTAGGTGTCAAATCAGTAAACAAAATAATTTTAGTTATACTTATTAAATTTGACTTCAAGTAAAGATTTGGTTGTATGACTTAAACCTGTAATCATCGTCATTTTATGTAAATATTTTGGCAACAACAGTACAAGAAAATAAATTTTATATTTGGATTTTGAACTTTGTAATATTTATATGCATGGTTTAAGACTTTAAGTTTGGGCCCCTCTTGATATTTTTAGTATTTTCTTTTATTTTATTTTATTATTTTTAATTTAGCTTATGGGTCGGTCCAACCTACATTGCTCATACCCTACAGGCTAGCGGGTATATTAGGGCCAGGCTAAAAATTTATATTCTTAAATGGGCTATTAAAATCTAAGTTCAACCCTATGAAATCACGAGTTGGGTCAAGCTGGCTCAATGGGCCTAACCCTTATTGACGGCTCTACATTTTACCATTAGAAATATTTGATTAAAAGATATCAATAAAGTTAAAGGAAATTATGGAATAAAGTCATTTTTATTTTGTCTTGTATTAATAAAATCATGCAACTTGTATTTTACATATCTAAAACAAAATGTAATGATATGGTTGGTCATTTTTGAAAATTTTCATAAAATTACAATTTTATCCCTCTTCATATTTGCTCGAGTCTTTGTGAAATGAGTATTGAAATTGGTTTCAAGTTTTGAGTTAAAAGTTGTGAATTTGGAGAATTTTGATATTTGTAAGGATAAAGTTGTTAAAAAGTGATTTTCGGTGTCTTTTGGAGTTTCGAGTGTCTGAATAAAATTCTGTTGATTCCATTGGTCCCAAAATATGGAAATTGGTCTTAGAAGATTATCAGTTTTAGATTCGGAGTCTTTTTGGGATTTGAAATCCCATGTTGGAAAATTGTAGAATTTTAGCTTTTGGATTGACTTTGGTCAATAATCGGGGTTTGGATGCTCGGATCAAAATTCTGAGAGTTCCATTGGATTTGAGGGATGATTCTTAGGTCTATGTGAGGTCTTGGTTGAATTTTCAGAGGTCGTGAGCTTGATTTGACATTTTTAGGCGTTATGTTCATTTCTTGTGATTTTCACGGGTTTCGGATCAAAGAAACTTCGAATTTTTGTTGCGATGGTTTCATTGTGTCCAGATTGTCTAGTACAGTCAATTTGCATAAAAGGTTTGTGTGTACGGGATTCGAAACGAATCACAAGGGTCAAGTCGGAGACTTAGAGATTTGCTTATTTTTGTTGTATGCGTTGTTGGTGCCAACTCTCTGCGTTCGCGGAGCTTGTAACCGCTTTCGCGGAGAGGAATTGTGGGGACCCGCGTTCGCGGAGGGTCAAGATGTTGATCTCCGCGTTCCGGGAGCCCTACCGCATTTACGGAGGCCCGATTCAATAAACCCGCTATCGCGGGAAGGGGTCCGCGTTTGCGGAGGATCCCTGGACGACAAAATGTTTTTCAAAAAATGGGGTTTCAATCCCATTTCACCATTTTTGAGTTTTGGGAGCTTTGATATGGTGATTTGAACAAGATTTTTGAGAAGAAATATTTGAGTAACGATTCCTAATCTTAAATCTTCATTTACCCATTATTATTTATGAATTTAAGTTCAAATCAAGGTTTTGAAATGATAAATTGAGGTTTTTCTTCAAGAATCTAAGAACTTAGTAAAATGGTGATTATGAACTGATTTTAAATCTTTTTTCGAAATGAGTTTCAAATGTCTTGGGTAATGTTTTCAGGTAAAGATTTTCGGATTCAAACCTTATTTTCGGAATTTCGGTTTTTGAGTTTGATTGTACCCATTTTGCAAAGTGTTTGAGTTGGGTGTTGTTATTTTCGGAATCTTATTGTGATTACTTGGTTGAATTAGATTGTGTGGCTTTGGACATTGTTCGGAAAGGGAAGGCTCAAATGACTTTTGATTAAAATTGAGGCACATGATCTCCTAAACCTTGTAAATCTAGTATAATCGTGTATTTCCCTTCATTGTGTGTGTTGGGGAGTAATGGGAGTAAGGCGGTGGATTCATTGTTCGACTTGATTAATCTTAAGGAATTAAAAGGGAATTAATGAAAAGGCAACATGTTGATCATAATACTATGTGAATTTGCCTTGTTGTGAGCCTTAATGTATTGATTGATGAAATGCTTTGATAGCATTATTGTGGACTTGAATTGCTTGAGTTATCATCTCTTCCTTGTGGTGTGAAATTGCTTATTTGCATTGATTTCTATGCACCGTTTTTCAGAGTAAAATGACTAAAATAGCCTTGCTCGATCTTGGCTTGGCTCTTCTAATAAAAACCTAGATAATGAAATAGCAAATCCATAACAAGAAAATGGACAGCTAACTTATAAAGAATATTGGAAGCACTATGTTTATGGTTGGTTCTCTTACATGTTGTGGCTAAAAGTTAAAACCTTGGCTCTCAATAATGGTGGTTCTTGAGTACAAACATAACTAGATTACAAAATTAACAAATAAAATGTTAGAAAATACAAGAAAAAGAGATGAATGAATTGCTATATAAACTTTTGAAGGGAAAAGAATATATGTCCTTTATGGTGCTGTCACTACTTTCTGCGGCAGAGCTTTTCTCTAATCTCTGCAGGCTGCCATATGATCTATTTGCAAGGATACCGCGATATACACCTCTTTAGGCAGCTCGTAAGATCAAACAAATTCCACATATCACAAAGGAAACTTCCTTCTTTCATGATTCAACATGTCGCGGTTATCCTCCTTCCTAGTGGAATTTAGGAAAGTCACCAATGTTAAGAAGTGTTCAGTTCCAGAAAAGTCACTTTCTCGTGAATGGTTTTTGGCATACAAGTAGCCGTTGGTCACTTCCATTCTGGAGGTCAATCACCCTAGCTTCCCAACGGATTTGTGTGGCTAACATGCGTGCTTTCTCTATGGGACCCAATGTATCAGAAAGAATAATCCAACCCTATCAAGAATTCATATTCAAATATCGAAACATGTACAAACAATAAGGAACCGTGGAAACGTGAGAAACACTCGAAGGTGTTGAGTCAATTAGAGCTGGAAAAATGAGGTGTAACTGAGATTAACAAGGTCAGCGTAAAAGAAAGAGTAAGCTGGAAGTTTTTTACAGTGAACAGAATGAAAATACAGATTACCTCAGGTCTCAGAATACGATCCATCTCAAGAAGTAGTTCAAGCGTACTGCAATCTTGTGAATCAATATGTGAAAGAAGCCCATTAGCATGGAGCATATCATATGTTCGTGGATATGTAGGAAACGGTTCACACCTGCCCAATTTCGAAAAACGCTACTATCAGTACATCACCAGAACCCATATAGCATTTAACTTTAAAAGCACTAAGCTCGTGGTCCATCAATCAACTAAGCCTCATTTCCAAATTAGTAGATGTCGCGATAAATGAATCATCTATCCATTCAGCTCTATTCGAGCTTGTTTCATTTTAAATAATTTGTCTTCAGTATTGCTATACAAAAATAAGCTGCTAAGCTCATATTATGAAAGAAATACTAAGGGAAATGCAAGAAACAAGTATCGACAATCGTTATCCTGTTGAAGAGATAAAGTACAAACCTCAAATTTCTCTGCTTTTTCCTTTATCTTTAAGTTTATACTCACACATGCAATATAAGTGATGTTTTATCTGAAGTAAAACATTTATGTTTTAGAAAAGATTGTAAATTTTAATTATTAATTTTGAAGCCCCTAAACTTTAGGGATGCCAATAGATTTTAAATCACACGAGTACCAGGATTGTAAGACGGTTTTACAACCCTTCTCACTGCGTTATAAAGATTGACATAACAAATATCTTCCTTTCATTTCGTCTTGACCTCCCAGTTTAGTTACCAAAATATTGTGCTTCAGAATTCCATCAATCATCAACTCAAAGGATGGAGATGGCAATCAAACTGAAAATAAAATAATTCATGCAACATGAACAAGAAGAAATTACGATATGTAAAAGAATGTGCTGTAAGTTTTTTCCACTATAATAATCTGACTGAAAAGCTAATTGATAAGAATAATTATCAGAATATTTCACTATCAATTAAGAGAAGTAGAAGAGTATAAAATATCCATATTGCGTTGCTTTAGTTTGAATTATTATATATCTACAATATCCCAGTATAAATGTCTTTGCAAGTCTTGAAAATATAAACAATAATAGCTTACCAGTTATGCAGAATACCGGCAAAACCTCGATCAAGTATGAGAGGAAGCGTATTACGAGCCCCAAGAGGCACAACATTCATCACCCACACTGATTTACTTGCCTCCAACATAGCAGCATTTAAGCCCCCATAATGTGCATTCATGTCCATGACATTCCTCACCATATTGTATGGAGGCAATGGATCTTCTTCACCCGGCCTCTTTGGATGGTCAGAGAAAATCAAGGGCGACAACAAAGACCAATAACTTCTCAACGCTGATTTCCAGAATCCTGAATTCTCAAAGAAATCATCAGGATCGACTTCTGCCCAAGAGAAAAACACAGGCAAATGAGTGATTACTAAAAGAAAGTGTACAAATAGCTGAAAATTGGAGAATGAAGAAGTCACATAAACCATTTTAACCGAAAATACTTGCCATGAATTTCAATATCAGTTGAGTTCAGAGGACCAGATCTGTCGTGAATCGGAACCCACCGGTTACTGCTTGTCCCAGAAATACAGTGTGCAAGCGGTTGGTAGTACAGTTGCATGTCCTCTCCTTTACAAATGGGTATACTAAGCTGTGAGCTACATCAAAACACAAAAGCTCATTATAGGAGGTGGAGGACAGATAAAACTGCAGATACGTGAATCATTCAAAGCTATCAATGCGCATATCAAACACAATTAGAACAAGGTAGATTCCTAGAAAATTCATTTTCTGTATCTCCCTTTTGGAAAAGTCTACGTGTGGGAAAAAAGTTTCTTTCCTAAAGATCATCTATTACAATTAGGTATTCGTTTATTGTTGACATGTTAGTTTATGAATTTAGTTAATTGAAACAAAAAATTGCTTCAAGGAAGTTACAAACATAAATAAAAGGAGTACGTACATAACCTCCTCGATTTGCCTTACCTATAGCATTGAGAATTTACTGTCTTCTGCCAGATGAAAGTCTCTTCCTGCTGTCCCAAAAGAGACCAACAAAGCTTTTTAGAGAACTCTTCCAAAGGAGTAGACATGCTTCCCTTCTTCGCACTAGTAGAACTATCCTGCTGCTGCCGGGTTGTTGGTGAGGTTAAAATAAAATAACCTCCGGGCTTGAGCACACGGTCAATTTCAATTAAAAACAATCCATCTGTTTTTTTCAAATCATTGTTAGTTTTATGCTATTGAATTCACCATGTTCATGAATTAACAGAAGCTGAGATACAAATAAAATCTAGCCATATAGGCAACATCATCTAAGTTGTTACTCCTTCCGTTTCTATTTGTTTGTCTAGTTTCTATTTGGCATGGAGTTTAAGAAAGTAAAGAAGACTTTTGAACCTTGTGGTCTTGAACTAAAGACACGTAGAATATACCAAAATGTCCTTTAATCTTATGGTTTTAAATATGTCACGTGGAAAGTTGGAATTAAAGAGTTGTTACAAAAAGGAAAAAGACATTCTTTTTGAAACGGACTAAACAGGAAAGTAAGACAAACAGATTGAAACGGAGGAAGTAATTGAAATGTTTGAGGAAAAAAGGAGTTCAACAATAATATGAGGTTTTCTTTTAAGTAAAATAGAGAGGTCAAGAGGATGAACTATAGTATTAGAACGGGCGAAGTGATTGAACTTGATTGCAAATAACATGCAAACTAAAGTGAAATCACAGCTAGAGACATTGCATAGACCTAACGAAATAAACGATAGATCAATTAACCCATACAAAGATGATGAGTAAACAGCTGGCTAACCACAGCAACTCAAAAACATAGCAAAAGCAATACCTTTACTGTCCCAAATGATTCCACACTGAGCACAATGAACCATATCATAAGACAACGATGGAAATGGAAGCTGTTTCGAAATAAAGTTGCCTATGACTGCCGGAAGTCCTCTCTCAAGTGCAAACTGAACTTGGCTACCAGATGACTCATACTCTGCCACACAAAGAGCCATCAACTTCAGCGAAAGTAGGTGACCACCAAAGCTACCAAAACCGCAACCAATATCTAGTACAGTGCGCACCTGTTATTCAGACAAGAACAAAAATTCTTATTTTATTGAAGTGATAAAATGCTTAGACACCCTAGTTCGTGTTATTCTTAATAAACTAGCAAGGGAATGAAAAGTAGAACGCGATAATACGTTTATGGAAAGAATAACCAAGATTTACTTACACCGGCTTGAAGAAATTCTGCATCACTTCCAAGCCCAATCATCTCAGCAATAAGGTGTGAGTGATCTTTGACACTATCAACCATCATTCCATCATCCGAGTGGAAAGCAATTTGGTTCTCTTCCAGTAACATTAATCTGGAAAAATAAAATTAGAAAAGGGCCTATTATAAATCAGGCAATAATAGTTTAATGCAGCATCACCGCTAACAAAAAGAAGAGAAAATGTTCATCAAGTTCATTCAATTGACCATACCTTTTTGTCATGCTTCCAGAAGAAAGGAACTGATCTTTGGTTAGCCTCACATTTCCACTCCATATGATATCCCTTCCTGCTGGCCAAGTCAGAGGAATCTTATAGTCCTTCGGAGGACGAACCAAACAATGTGGTTGTCCGCGTGATAACTCGCAATGTCGATCAAACTCCTCCCCATCTTTCAAACCAGTTAGCGTATTTGCAGATACATTATAACAAGGTACATAGTTCTCTCTTTCTTTCCCACAAAAACCAATATCCTTTATCCAATTGGCTCCTACAGAAAGGCTATTTAGCTCTAAATAATCGTTTCGCACTAGCTTCTTTAGCTTTCTATAACTTGTATGGACATCAGGGTTTGTAGAGGAGGCCACAGAGTCAAACGTACTTGAGTAAGATGATTCTAATAATGCTATTAGCCCAAAAACACTAACCAGGCACAAGACTAACCAGCTTACTGACGGTCTACGCCTGAACAGTATTGATAGTTTAGTAAACAAAGGGCTTCTCATATCCAAGTTTCTACCTCAAACCCAAGTGTTGAGAAGATCAAAATAGGTGCTAGTTACTGTTACAACCTGAATCTCCAAGACAGCAATGAACATCTCTCATATGTATCGCCCAGCATCCAAACAATTCCAATTAACATGAGTCAGACCACTATCAAATCTTCCTCCAGAAAAAAAAAACAATTCTTTGCAAAATAATCACAAAAATAGAAAAAGGACGAATACAGTTTTGATCCCACAAGTGTCCAATTCAGATCAGTAGAGTCACTCCTTGAAATAGACTTAAAACATCACAAATAACCAGTTCAGAAAATGACAATTCTAAAACAAGTATCACAATTTACTTAAAAGAATCTAAATCCAGCAACTACTCCCTCAGAAAAACCTGCAACAGAAAAACACCAAATTATACATAAGAATCAATCAGAAAACAACAACAACAACAATGCCTCAATTTTAAACTAGCCAAGGTAGACTAATCCTCCAAAAATGCTCTACTTCACATCCGACACACACCCTTAAACACACTTTTGAAGAGTCGAAGCAACTTACATATACATCCACTAAATTAGATCCATTTCAATACAATACGACAAATGGAGTCCTCTAAAAAAAGAAAACTATTCCGTCATGTCAACCTCCAATAACACATAATATCAATACAAAATAACAAACACAAACAACAAATGCCTCAAATTCCAAATTTAGCAAATTATTTTATTTTGACCCCTTTCATTTAAAGCTCAATAATCTATTTGTTTTCTAAAATAAAATAAAAAAATTATTAAAAAAAAAACAAATTGGGCAGAAAAATGAAGATTCCAAAATTTCAGCAATTAAAATTAAGATCTCAAACGCAGATCAGATCCACATATTATTGCAAAAACAAAAACATCATTATAACATATACAAGATTAACCAAAAAAATCCCAAAAGAAAACCATTCTGGCCTCTCCATGACAAAGGGTTTTTGTATTACCTGATTAATTTCTGATAAATTGCTGAGTATAATATACATTATGGAATTGAAGTGTTTGCAGATAAGTAGGCAGAATTTGGATTCGCCAATTGACAATCACAAAGAGAAAAAAACGACCAAAAGAAACAGAAGACACCTTTTTCTATGGATGCGTAACTTTTTTTTTTTATAATATAGGAAGTATTAATAATTATCTCTTTATGCATTTTTATTATTTCGGTTGTTTATTTATTTGGAGCCAAATTTTTTTTTTCTAATGAGTTCAAAAAAGGCCAAAAATTAAACACATAAAAGAAGTTAAATCAGTTCAACGTTATAGGAAACAATTTTAATTATATATAAATTGTGTAATTCTTTTTTAAAGAAATTTGAATGAACCCTTGAGAGTTTAGGTTCTTATATTCATATACACTTTTTCTTAAAGAATACTTTAATAATATTGTTCAAGTTAATTTAAAAATAAAATGTCAAACTTCTATATCATAATTATATATGACGGTCAACTTTTTTTAAAATCAATTATTATATTGTATATACACACTCTATAATAATATTTAATTATAGTTGTCAAAAGATCATCCAACAAATGATATAATTATACAGAACATTAACCATATATTAGTATCATCGTTTTTATCGAAAATAGATATGCTATAGTAATTTTGTTCATTGAATAAAATATCTCTAAGTATCGCTATTTAACTTTACCATATATTTTATTATTTTATCTGTTTAATTCACTTTAAAATAGCATTTTCAATTATTTTTTTTATCGAAAATAGATCTACTATAGTAATTTTGTTCATTAAATAAAATATATCTCGATATCTCTACTTAAATTTACCATATATTCTGTTGTTTTATCTGTCAAATTCGCTTTAAAATAACATTTCCAACTTTTGTTCCTTTTTGAGGCTTTATACTTTTATTTTATTTTAAAGGTATAAGACTATTATATACCAAAAAGGGAAATTCTTTGAAAGTAACAAAATAGACATGTGTTCAAATAGAGAATGTTTAGTCTTGGAAGTTGCTCTTTTTTTATGGTGTTTTCTTCATGACATATATTAACATATATACTATAAAAAAATCCCAATTTTTGAAAAAACTTTTTTAAAATATGTAGAATTCTTTTTGGAAAAATATAGGTACAAATTTCTAAGAAATTACTCTATTAATACAAATTACTAATTTGACAAAATTAATGAATTACCTTATTGTAACTTGTCCTAGGGTTGGAGGGTGTGGAGAACATAACCTTAGACAAAGGAGTGTGGAAGACGTATACTAGGGTAACAGCATGGGCGGACCGACGTTAAGCAAGGGTATCAAGCGACACCACTTCGTCAATTTTTTATAACAAAATGACACTAATTGACAAAAGTAATCTAATGGTGTGATGGTTCATTGTTTGCTTTTGATGTTTGAGGTTCAAATGAAATGTGGTTAAGTAGCATTGAACTCAAGACATCTTTTAGTTTAAACCTAATCTATAAGCCATAAGCATATTTTTGCAAAATAAAACCATGCTTAAAAATATGGTTAAGTAGTATTGAACTCAAGACATCTTCTAGTTTAAACCTAATCTAAGCCAATAAAACAAGGATATAACTTACTTAAAAATATGATGGTTAAATCTCCTTCTATATATAAATATCGACAATAGTTACTTACTCAATCGACTAGGTAGAAGGTTAATAGGTATTGAAGTGTTGTCTTGTTTTTGAGGGATTAGGCTTGTTGGAATTTATTGTTGTACTAATCAGATTATCGTAGTGTTTGCTTTTGATATCTATCATTGTTTGTCGTCTATTTTTCTTCGATTATCACACTATTTTGTTGCTCTTATTTCTTTCTTATAGGCTTTGCATTGTTTCCCTTGTTAGTTATGATGTTTTCTACATTATTATTATTTTTTAATTTGTTGCATTTTAGCTTAGAATCTTTCAAAATAATTTTTTTACCTCTACCACTCGCTCTACTAGATAATAATAAGCTTAGATATATTATAGAATTTCACTTATTGTTGTTGTTACCTTATTGTGATTTGTACTATTATTCAAGGTGGGGCCAAATTTTACAAATGAAAAAAAAAAAACAAAGGTTGAAGTAACGGATAGTTCTAATAAGTATTAAATTTGAACGTACGACCAAGTATATATTGTGATGCCAAAGAGGCTATACTTTTTGGATTTACCATGTCGTTGTCTACTAGTCATGTATGTTTTATGTTGTATGTATATAATACAAAGAATGTTTTAAAGTTTTCTTTTCTTTTTTCTTTTTCCTACTATATTAGAAGTATGGGTAAAACAGCTTGGTATCAACATGCTTGCTTGTTGGTCATTAAAACTTAACTCAAGGGCAATTTTGACTTTTTACTGCACTTATACATACGTGTCTTTCATCCTCCATTGAAAAGCCACGTAAGATATGACTTTCCTATTTTTCTCTAGAACTTAAATCTTTCATAGCTTGTTCTGTTTCCATATCCCTAGAACTTGAGTAATTGTGACAATTTTCTCTGGATTTTATCTCTTTTCTCAGTTAATTTCTAGGTTTAAGTTTGGCATAATACATAAATGTGCTCTTTAACTTGATCTTATTTCACATTTATATCCTCCAAATTTAGGTATGCACAAATAAACACTTTTAACTTGTATAAAGTTGAACAATTAGACACATGAGTCCTATGTGGCATAATACACATAAGACACCACGTAGGATGAAAATTGTCATGTAAGATGTCACATAGTACGGGTGTGTCTATTTGTTCAACTTTATACAAGCTTAAGTGTCTACTTGTGCACACCCAAAGTTGGAGGGCATAAATGTGAGCAGAAGCCAAGTTAAATGACATATTTATGTATTATGCCTTTAAATTTTATGTGCTTATGATTTTATGGCAGTAGAGATTTTTTGCCAACCACACAGAATGATCGACGGTGATCATATCACTGATTTGTTTATCCACCGCTTTAATAGAGATTTGATAGAAACTCTGAAAATGGAGTATGTATTTTCTAGGTATAGCTTCTTACTTATGATGTTGTTTGTTGAATTGTATTGAGATTATATTTAGAGAAACAGAATAATCGAAATCAAGAAAATTCTCTGACTTGCATGTTTGGCTGTATTACAGTGTATTGCATGTCTTTTTTAAGACAATTATTTCATTTTGGGTTTGCCTTTCTAAGATTCCATGAAAGCTTTTATAATGGTCATGAGAATGCTAATTTTGTTGTGCTTTTCCATTCCTGACATGTAATATATATTTAGTTTTTTTAAGTTGGTGAATTAGGGGGTTCATAAGGCCACTAGATTATGAGTAATCTTATTAATGTTAAAATTTAATTAAGAAATTGTTTGATCTATCTAAGAAAAAATTATCATGTGTGTTCATGTGCTAAAAAAAAATTATCATGTGTGTTCGTTCATGTGCTAAAAAAAATTAGAAAGATGAATTGAGACTTTCTTCCAATCGGATGTTCATCAAAATACAAAGATGAATTTATGAGTGAACAATAATTAATTCTCCACTAATTTTTGTAGATAAAAAAAAGAATTAATTGAAATTTTCAACTTATATATATATATTTTTTTTATTATTGAAATTAGAGCCGTCAATATGGGTTAGGTCCGTTGGGCCGGTCTGGCCTAATCCGTGATTTGATAGGGCTGAGCTACGATTTTTGGAGCCCATTTAAAAAAATGGTGTTTTATCCCGGCCTAAATAAGTTTGCCGGTTTGTGGGGCTTGAGAAATATGGATAGAGCCAGCCCGTGGGCCAAATAAAAATTAATTAAAAAATAAAAATGAAATAGAGTATTAAAAATAACAATAGTCTAAACTCAAAATCTGTTTAAAGTTTGAAATATTACAATTTAAATACAAATTATGTTTATGAAATATGTACTACATAAAATAAAAATTTCCTAAAATTTCTAGGGAATCACTACACAGGTCATAGCCTATGGAATATTATCATAGTTTTTGTGTTTTATTATGAGTTGTGACCATTGAAAAACAATTAGGTT